CAGGGGGCCATGTGGGGGCCTGTTCAGACCCCAGCCGGAAGGAATGCCACAAGGAGGGGGTGGGATGGGGAGGCAGGAGCCGTGCACTGCCCAGGCTCCTCATCTAGGGTGGGAGGCCACCCACCCCAGGGTTCCTGGCCCCCGCACCCTTGGGAGGAGCATGGACGTGGGGACCCTGGCTTGGTTCTGGGGAGCAGTTCTGGAGCCTCCCCAAGGCAGGATGGGAGGAGCACCCTGGTCTAAAGCCCCTCGGCTGCCCCACTGGCCCTACCCCTCTGCTGTTGCGTTATTCCCTTCCATCTTGACCTGGATCATCTCAGTGTCTTCTCCTGCCCTTTGAACTATGTCACCAGAAACACTTGGCCTCAGAGGGGACTTCATACTCCCTGGGATTGCCAGCAACCCTCCCCCAAACAAAACACACAGATGAAATCTAAGAAGTGAGGTTGTTAAACACTGATGCCTCACCTTCCTCCATGGCCTGGCCAGACAGAAGTCTGCCACTTTTAAAGACCCCAGCACTTGCCCTGCTCAAGATCTCCCTTGAGTTCAGGAGGTTGGAGAAAGTCCCTGCCTACTCTGAGGGACCAAGTTCCAGCTTGTCCTGCTCTCCCTCCACCTCACCTGAGGCTGTGGTAGCCTTGGCGACTCCAGGGAGCTCCCTGTCCAAGGAGCTGGGGAGGGGGAGGAGCTGTCCCTTTAAGAGAGGAATGCGGTGGAAGAGCCCCTGAGCCTTTGAGACGAGACCGGCTGGTTCTCTACCTGCCCAGGTTTGCTCAGGGCGTGGCAGCTGCGGATAAAGACTCAGGCTTGGCAGCTGCTTTCTCGTTTTCTCCCAGCACCTACTCCTCTACCCAGCCAGGGAGCCGCAGGTGAGCAACTGGGGTCTCCTCTCCCCAAGCTCCTCATGACTCAGCCTCCAAGCTCCCCCTCCATGGTAGAGTAGTGGTAGAGTTTACCCCCCCACACACAGAGAAGCTCTGCTGGGAGGGCCCTTAGGATCTTCCCCCTTCTCGATCCTTTTCTGGGGACAGGAGGTTGGAGAAAGTCCATTGTCCACCCCAGGGTGACCTTCCCCCTCATTCTCTGAGGGACTTGCACAGTGGGGTGACAGTTGGACTCACTTAGTGGGGGCTTGGGACAGCTGGGATGGTGGGGTGCAGTAGACTGGAGGTGTCTGGATGGGCCAGAGCTGGGGTATGGGGACTCTAAATAGATCAGGGAGATTTAGGTGAACTTGGTAGACAGGGGGTGTTGGGCACATGAGTCCTGGAGACTAACAGAACGGGGGGGGGGGTTGTCCTGCAGAACCTTTAAAATGCGGAGCTGGTTAGGAGATTCGGGGGATATAGAGGAGGAGGGTACTAGGAGAGAAAGCACACAGAGGGCTGGTGGTGCAGGTGGTAGAGTGGTGGTAGAGTTTACCAAGGCAAGAACAAAAAGAAAGATAACCTGTATGCAGGTCAGAGTCAAGGGAAATGGCAGGCAAATTTTCAAGGGAGGAACCATACCATGAGGTTGGGAGACTGGGGCTTTTTTCAGGGTTTGAGGCTATGGAAAAAGTCTCAGTAGTAAATGGGATTTTGTGAAAAATGTCTTTTTCTGGACCATCTAGCGTCTAGTGGGTCCTCCAGGGGCATCAGCACCATGTCTAGAATTGCATGTTTAAAGTTGCAATTTGACAAGGGCATTTCTTTTGCCTTCCCAGAAGGCCCTTTAGCTTTGGATAAGGAGGTCCGAGCACACCGGCCAGAGGTGGTCAGGGTTCAGTGGGAGGAAGGAGAGTCTTGCATTAGAGGTCTGTTTTCCTCTTGTGTGGCTTCCGCCAGCGTTGCTGTATTGTGTCATGGCCACAGGTACGGCCAGGGAGGCTGCAAGGCAGGACTTTTGCTGGAGGGGCTCCACCCCTTGGGTGTCAGTGGGTACTCACAAGGACCCTTCCACATCCCCCAGAAAAGGGCGGTATTCTCCACCATTATTGGAGAATAAAGGGGACAGCTGCCGACAGACAGCTGAAACAGGACTCGGGCTGGAGTTAGGACTTTTGTGGCTGGGAAGGAACAGAGGTGGGTGGACAGAGGGCCCCCAGTGTGGGCTGCTTCCTCTTGGAGCCAACTGTGGTCATTCAGAAACAGACAGAGGCCCCTGGAGGGGGACGGCCAGAGAAGGCAGGTACCCAGAGCCCAACTCCTGGCAGCTTCCACATGGCCTGGCCTGGGACTCCTCAGGCAGAGACGGGGGGCACGGCCAGGACATCCCTCACCTCCTCATCTCAGATGTTTCTGGTCTCATGGGAGTCGGGGAAGCAGGGCCTCCCAGGCCAGGGGAATCCTGGAGGAGCCCATGGAGAGAGACTTAAGAAATGAGCTCTAACGGTCACTAGGTGACAGCACAGGGCATCAAGCGGAATTAGCCGGGGCAGGGCAGTTTTCAACAGCAACGATGGTGCCCACTTCATCAGGCTGGGCTCAGAGTGAATCAGAGTTAAGAGCTGAGAACGGGCCTGCGTGGGCTCGGGATCCACACGCACCAAATTTATTGCTAATGTTGGGATCGGCGTGTGACAACAGAACCTCCCAAGGTGGCTTTAGATGACAGGCTGGCCACTGCCCACCACCCACCCATTCTATCTGTCTCTAAGCCTTCCTGGGGCCCTAGATGCCTGGATAAAAATGCTTTCTAAAGCCTCAGACCCTCTTTCTGCAAAAAACAGTTGCTCTCACTCTGGGGGCTGATACAGGAGGATTGCCTTGAGTTGAAAGCCAGCCTGAGCTGCATAGCGAGACACTGTCTCAAAAAATAAAAAAAAAAAAAAAAAGTTGCTCAAAGTAGAGTCATGGGTCCAGCATCTTGGGTTAGTGGAAAAGCTGTGAAGAATCCGAAGCCCAGGGGTGCTCATGAGGAGGTGTGGAAGGCTGTACATTGGCAGGACACACCTGCACCATGGTGGCTGCCAGGACCGCCCCCTACCGGGCATGGGTTTTGCATTGGTGAAATGTGGGTTGGCTGTGGTGACACAGGGCTATAATCACAGCACTCGGGGAGGCTGAGGCTGGAGGATCAGAAGTTTGAGGCCAGCCTGAGCAACTTAGTGTCTTAGGGAGATCCTATGTCAAAGTAAAAAATTAAAAAGGGTTGGAAATGTAGCTCACTGCAAAGGTTGTGGGCTCAACCTCCAGTACTTCGGAAGGAAGGAAAAAGGAAGGAGGTAAAAAAGGGAAGAAAGAGAAAGAAGGAAATGGGGACAGGACAGATGACCTCAGGGGCTGCAGGGAATTGAATGAGGGAAAACAAGCAAGGTCACAGCAGTGTCCCAGGCCAGGGAGCTGGGCAAGTGTTAGCTTTCACTATCGAGAGACATCGCATGCCTGCTGCAGTGGGGCAGGGATGAGAGTGGGCAGGAGATGCCCAGGGACCAGGAAGCTTCTGCAGACAGCCAGCACAGAGGGGGACAACATGGCTATGGGGACAGGACAAGGTAAAAGTGTTCTGTGTGCTAGGCAGGTCTTCCCAGGGAAAGAGTGTAGGGTGGCAGCTTGGCAAGGCCAGGGGTAGGGCTGGGGGCTGGGTCAGGGGCAGCTTAGGGTCTGGGGGAATGTAGGCTTGGGCTGGGTCATCCTAGGGTTAGGACCGAGGTCTGAGCCTGGCTAGGACCACAGCTGGAGAGGGTTGGGTGTAGAGCTGAGGGGCAGGGACAGGGTGGGATGAAGATGGAGTTGTGGTGCAGCCAGGACCCTCCAGGACCCTCACCCTCCGTCCCAGCCTGTCATTAGCTCCTTCCCACCCCATCTGCAAAGTCTGGGCAAACCTAGGCAGGCCCCAAGCTGTCTACGAGGACACTCCCCAGAACCCGGGCCTCCTGCCACCTGGCTCCCAACACCCTACTTCCCAAAACACCCCAAGGCCCCAGTAGGCCTGAGTTAGGTGCAGCCAGTAGGGAGCCAGGCGTGGCTGAAATCCTGCTTCCTAGCCAAGTGATCCTGGCAATGGTGTTCACCTCTTCGAGCCTCAGTTTCCCCATGTCACACACGGGATAAGAGCTGGCAGTGCCTCCCTCACTTGGTTGCTGGAGCTGTTCACGACTGCCCCTCCTCCGGCCTGAGTCCTCACTCAGTCCCTCTTGACTTTGGGGCTCCCTCTTCCTTCAGCGTCACTGTCCTGCACTGACCCTGGGTTGTGCTCTGTGGGTGTGGAGTGAGGGTTGGGAGTGGGAGCCAGAAGCGCAGGCCTGACACCCTGCTAAGGCCCCTCCCTGCCTCCTCCAGGGCAGTGCTGTGACATGCAGGAGGTGGTCCTGAGCCTGCTGGTCTTCCTGGCCGGTGAGTATGCGACCTCTAGGGTGCCTTTTCCCTGGGCCTCAGCTGGCTGCTGCCCGGCTGCGTGCGCCCACACTTGCTCCTATCTCTCCAGGGTGGTGAGGGTCGGCTGTTGGGGACAGCATCCCCTCAAGCATAGGAAGTGTCACGCTCATGATCTCAAGGGACACACAAGGACAAGGCATCTCACACAGCTAGGAAAAGTCAGCATCTTTCCTGGTCTCTTGTGTGTCTGACGACATCAAGGAGAGAAGGCGCCAGGGTTCAATCCCCAGTTCCGCAAAAAAAAAAAAAAAAAAAAAAAAAAAAAGGAAAAGAAGAATACCTAGCTTGAAAACAGCATGTATTGGTGCTGTAAATATAATTTAAAATGATTGAGCTCCCTTTCGCAGCATGTAGGCCCAAGCTGGAGGCAGCACAGCGCCTTTAGCTAGGATGGGACCGTTGCCCTTTGCTTTCATTGCGTTTCCTTTCCTCCCGTTGTATTGGGCAACACTGGGAGTCCACTCGGGCAGCGGTGTAAAGTGGCCTTTTTATATGAAGTGTGTTCAAGTTGATGGCTGGGAGCCTGGGGGCGGGGATGGCAAGCCAACTCGGGGACAGGTGGGGTACGCATGTGGCGCAGTCACGAAAGTGGACTCTGGGTACAGCTGGTGTGGGGAAGACAGCCCCGGGAACAGAAGCCATCTGTCACCTTGATGAGACAAGTCCTCTGCTTGTGCAGAGGCCTGGATCAGCCATGTGTCTAGAACTATTCAACCAAATGATGGCAAAACTACTAGAACCTGTTTCGGGAGAGGCCAAAACGTTGGCACAGCTTGAAGGTGTGGGGCAGGGAGGGTGAGTCCCTGACTCTGTGATGCCGATGGAGGGAGCCAGGCTGGGGCAGGACCTCTGTGACCACAGGAGGTGGCAGCTGTCCTCAGGGTGCCCAAGGGAGGCCGGAGGCTCCGAGGGCCCTGCTCAGCAGCTCTGCTGAGGCCAGCATCACCATGTCCCCTCTTCCCACCTTTCCCTTCCCCAGGCCTGCCTGCTCTGGATGCCAACGACCCAGAAGGTGAGCCGGAGGTGTCCCACTTGACCCCCACATTCTCCCTGGGACCCTTGCAGTAGGCAGCTGCTCTATATCCATGTTCTTATCTCTCTCTCTCTCTCTCTCTCTCTCTCTGCAGATAAGAACAGTCCTTTCTACTATGGTGAGCGCCTGCTCTTCGTCACCTCTCACCTCACACACTGTTCTGAACCAACAGCGCCACAAGGGACTGGTGGAGGTTCTGACGTGGGTGATCCAGAGGCCAGGACAGGAAGGGGCTCAAATGAGGGCACCGAACCATAGAATCGGTGGATTAGAAGAACAAAAGATGACAGTCTGGCCCAGGGGAGGCCTCTAAACCAACAAGGCAGCTGAACACAGGCAGGAAGCGAGGACAGGCCGCAGAAAGCCATCAGATTCAACTGATCACTGGGAGAAGGGCGGGCAGGAGGCAGTTTCCTGGAAGAGGAGGGTGGTCCAATAAGAACTATGGTTCTGCCTCCAGAGTCCACAGAACCGCTCCTTTCTCTGCCCTCACCTCCTGTACTGCCTGCATTCCTGCTGTTCCTGGCCAGCCTCACGGCCTCCTGCCTGTCCTTAGGTGCAGCACACAACTGCAGCTGCTGGTCCTGTGCACCCACACTTCCTTTCACCCCTCCACCTCCTGCAGATATCTGACCATGGTAGCCTCCTCAGAGGACCCTTCCCCACCACCCTCCCATCCCTCGCCCTGGCTATTTTCCTTCATACCCCTTATCTCCACCCGACCCACCCAGAAACGTCTTGCTCGAGTGGAATCATCCAGACTGTGTGCACCAGCGGGGCTGGGGTTCTGGTTTGCTCTCTTACTACCACATCCTAGAACCTTCACTACACATTAACCAGGTGGACACGGGGGAGATGGGTGGGAGGACCTGGGCTGGCCTTGAGGTCCCCTCTGTTCTTCTCCCAGACTGGCACAGGCTCCGGGTCGGCGGGCTGGTTTGCGCAGCGGTTCTGTGTGCGGTGGGCTTCATTGTTCTCTTGAGTGAGTCAAGGAGCTGGTGGGGGCGGGGCTGGCGGGGCTGTGCATCCCCTTCTCTGACCGCTTCCTTTCCCCCAACAGGTGGGAAATGCAAGTGCAAGTTCAGCCAGAAGCCCAGGTAAGCTGTGTCCCAGGCGCCTGCCTTGTGCAGCACTTTCCTGGGTGAGAGTGCAGTCTTGCAGAGTGAGGAAGGGCATAGCTAATGATCCCTGGAGGGCTCCAAATTCTGAAATCCCATAGTCCCCGAGTGCTACACAAACCAACACCAGAAAGGTAGCCAGCAAGCAAGGTCTGGGCAAGCCGTGCTGTCTCTAGCCCCGAGGGCCAGGCCAACCAGGGCGGATAAGGAGCTCACCGACTTTTATTCCCTCAGTCACCATCCAGGGGATGCCCCACCTCTCATCACTCCAGGTAAGACAAGCAGCATGGAGGGTGAGGGTGTGTGTGTGTGTGTGTGTGTGTGTGTGTACATACATGCATGTACTGGGCAGAAAGGCTATGTCTGCTCTCAGGCTGACCCTGTCCCCTCTCCCAGGCTCTGCTCACAACTGCTGAGGACCGACCAACCAGAAGAGCGCCAAGAGCTTCTACTTCTGCCTGCTGGCTTTGTAGGGGACCCTGGCTCCCAGGGTGGCACCTCTCTTCTCCTCAGATGCCTCTCCCAGCCTCCACCTTACCTCTCATGGAAGGGGGCTCTGTGTTCAGTGTTTGATATAAAATGATCTTGGCTCTGGTCAAGGTGGCCACAAAGCTCCCTGTACATGCACTGGGGTAGGGGGTGGGGGTGGGGCAGGTGGACGTGGGCGCCTGCGGAGGGTGCACAGCAGCTGGGAGCTGATTCTCTGGGTTTGAAAAGGCCAGGGGCCTGCTCCCTTCCTCCACAGCCAGAGGAGCCCTGTGCAGCGGAGGCAGTTCTAGTGTCACATGGAGAACAATTTTATGAGTGAGAGTCCTAACTGGATGGATTGCATCCCAAAAAACAAGGCTGTAGGATCAGCCTATCATGCTGGGAGTGCGCAGTGGTTTGACTCTGATAGTGAAGACCTCTATGGCCTTCTCACACCCTGGAGACTCCACTTTAGTATGAAATCTTTCCAAGTACCCACCTGCCCCTGTGAGATCTCTGTATCCCAGGGGATCCCCATGACACCCATGATAATACACAATGGCCACACAGTGAGATTCTCCACTGTGCCTCAAGTTCCCTTGAGACTCCCCAATAGCCAATAAAGCACCCAAAATGTTCCCATGAACCACCCCTATAAAATTAGCAAAACTCTACAAAACACCTGCAAATATCTCCTATAATGCCCTTAAAACATAACCTGGAAAAAGAGATCCATAATAAACCTATGGCTTGTTCCATAATCATACCTTAGCCCTCCAAGATCCCCAGGACACCCCACCCACCTATAACCCCACCCACCTATAACCCCACCATCCTTAGAGACCTGGGAGGTGCCAAAGGCCGCCCTGCCATCTCCTTTCCGAACGCCATCCTCCCCAACGCCATTCACAAAGTCCCCAGTGAGCCCACAGCAACCGGCAAGGCGGGTGCACAGTGCCTTTATTGAGCGTTCACACTTCCTGTCTTTGGCCCTGGTATGCTTCCGGGGGCAGGTACCAGGGGCTTCCCGCGGATTCCTTTTGATTCCTGCCTTTTCCTTACCTGCCACCCACGCACGCATGGGGGAGGAAAAGCCCGGGGAGCAGCTTCTGGCAGCAGACATGCGCACAAGCAGCAGAAGGAATGACGTCTGGCAGGGAAACCGACCCTGCGGCTGTGACGTCATGGAGGCGGGCACTTTCCCCATTAACGCGATTGGTTAGACTGAGTTTGAAGGGGAAAGATTTGCTCTCACCTCAGCTTCCACAGGGAGCAGGGAGGTGGGGAGACGTGTAGCTGATACCCTCTAGACATCACCCACGTTCTGCGCATTCCCTTCTTTTGATTTCTGTATTCTGGCGCCCTGCGCTGCCCGGCTTGAGCTTCCAAGTTACTTGGGATGCTGTCCCACGCTGGAAGGTCAGCTCAGAAGGTCCAACAGCTGTGACCTTCCATTTACCCTAGTTGGCCCAGTTCCCCCAAGAGGTGGGCTAAAGCCTGGACCTGTGGCTGGTGAGCTTGGCCTGTGCTCAGTACCTCAGATACTGGGGCTAGGAGTCCGGGTAAGAGGAGATCCCAACGCCTGAGGCTCCCCATGCCAGACCCGAGCTACATCCAATGTCCTGGCTAGCCTCAGGCGCTGAGGTCCAACTCATGATGCTGGTATATCTGTGTGGGGCCCTTGAAGCAAGCCGCAAATAGGAAGCGTCTTCCAGCCAAGGTGACATGCGCAAAGGCGCGGGGGGCCACCAAGGCTGGGGGCCCCAGCTCCTGCAGCGGCTCCAAGAGCCCTTTGTCTGACTCAAGGCGAAAGACCTGGCTGAAGGCAAAGTCGCTCCCCAGGATGGCCAGCTGGTCCCTGCCGATGAGCAGCGGTTGGAATACGTGGGCGCCCCGTGAGGGAAGTTTCTGCAGCAGGCGGAACATGGATCCATCCCAGCGCATGACCTGGGGGTGGAGGGCAGGGCAGCTAGTTAGCACCAGGGTTCTGGGGGCCCAAGCCTGCCTGTCTTCCTCAAGGCTCAGAAGGACTTGGAACAGCTTGGAAATGGGCCTGCAGGTCCCCCAAATCCTGCAGCATTCTAAACTTTGTTAATGTCACCATCTATGGGCTGGGGGATGTAGCTCAGTGGCAGAACACTTGCCTAGCTCGTTCAAGGCTCTGGGTTTAATCCCCAGTAGCCTCCAAAAACAAAAATTAATGTCACCACCCAGCTGTTCAGGCTTCAAATTCAGAGCTATACTTGAGCTTTCTCTTCCTACATCATATATAGAAGAGTCACAGTACAATCTGTTGGTTTTACCTACAATAGTTGTAACATTTCTCCATCTCCCTTGTTCACACCTTGGCCCATCCTCCACCCTCTCCTGCCTCCTTCCTGGTGTCTGGCACCCATCCCTGTCCCCAGTCTATTCCCCTCCAGAATTCTTTTAGACTTTGAACCCTTCCCTAGCTGCACCTCACTTGCTGGGAATAGGGGTGGCACAGGATGGGCAGGGCCTATCTGTCAGCCCTGGGGTATGGGGCCTGGGGTCGGGGACGGGAGGGGTGAGGCTGTGATTTAAAAGCCTGGCATGTGTCAGAGTTACAGAGCCAGAATTGGTATGTGTGTAAGGGTGGAGAATCAGTCTCGGGGGCAGTATCAGTCCTGGGATATGGATAATGGTTTAAAATCAGCCCTAAGTGGGGCATAACACTGGAGTCCATGTTGGACCAGATCAAAGGTTAGAGGTTAGCATTCCCTGAAGACTCAGTGCTGAAATGCCTCTGGGGTGGGGGTGGGGGGGGCGCCTTACCATGGAGTCCCCAATGTAACGGGTCAGGCACAGAAACACGTCCCCACCAGCCTGGAAGTGGCGTGTGGCATAGACATCCTCGGCCTCAGGGATGTCCGTGCGCCTCTCAAAGCGGCCACCAACCCAGTGGAAGAGCACAGGGCGCTGGGAGGCAGAGGCCAGTAGCAGGTGGGGACGGCCGTCCAGCTCCAGGACCTCTACATCTGTGTCCCGGTGCCAGGCGTGCAGGCTCTGGCGGGGGTAGAAGCCGGGCCCGTCGCGACACAGCAGCGTGGTGCTGCCTGCTTTGGAGGCATCGGCCACCACGAAGCAGGGCTGCTCATCCAGCCACAGGATCTCGGCGTCGTTGGGCCTCAGAAGCCGCCGAGGGGCGAGGGCCTGCAGTGGGGCCAGGCGCAGGTCGGGGCTGGGTCTTGCCCACAGCTGCGAGCCTCCCCACAGGCGGGCGGCCAGCACGAAGAGGCGCGGGCCCAGCACCAGCGGCTTGCAGGACACCACCGAGGGCGCTGTGGGCAGCAGGAGGTGGTCAGGCCTTCAGGCAGGCTGGGGACGGGCAAGAGGGGATGCAGGGGGGCTCACCTGACAGCTCTTCCTCTGGCCGGAAGCGCTGCAGGCTGTAGTCCCAGCCGAGGATCAGGCAGCGGCCTGCGAAGGGCTGTGCTAGGATGACGTGGGGCTCCCCCTGGTAGGAGAAGGGCTCCACACCCAGGGCCGACTCCCGGACTGTCTGGAACCAGGACAGCTCTGGGGATGGCAGGGGAGAGTCAGGCTGGCCCAGGAGACTCCAAGGTCCTCATGGAGGCTTAGTTTACCTATCTCTGCCATCAGGGCCGTTCAGGGTGTTCAACTCGTAGGGTTATATAACAACAAAAAAATCCTTTTAATCTATACATACATTAACTCACAATGTGAGCTGTATTTTCTCAGCTGTTTGGCATCATTAAATAATCCCTCAGAAACAGCATGTTTAATTTTTTGGTGGTGGAGACTGAACCCAGGGCCTTTGCACTGAGTTACATCCCCAGCTCCTTTTTAGTTTTTATTTTGAGACAAGACCTCATGAAGTTGCTAAGTTGCTGAGGCTGGCTTTGAACTTCAATTCCTCTTTCCTCCCTCTTTACAGAGACTCATTTAACTTGACGACATTCCTGCGAGGTGCACTCTGTTACAGTTTCTACAGGTGAGGAAGCCGAGGCTGAGTGCAGAAGTACAACTTGCCTGTGTGAAGGCGGCCCATCCTGGCCTTGGGCTCCTGCCCTTCCTTCTCACAAGATGATGCACGAGGATGCTGCAGCCCAGCCTCAACCACGCAAGCGAGGACAGTGCCCAGGAGCTGTTCCACCCACCTGGACGGCTCATCTTGGTCCCATCTGTCTTCCCTAACTTGTGGTATTTTGAGCCTTTCTGTTAGAACAGTTTAGCTTCCACAGGACCTGGCTTCCAAAGTCCTGCACAGTGAAGCCTTGCCGCCTTTCACCTCCGGGTGTCTCTTTTTTCCCTCCTTCCGCCCAGACCCTTGCTTTCCTTTGATCATCCAACAGGACAAGCTGCTGGGCGCCTTAGGGACACTGCTCGTGCTGGTCCCTCTCTACCAAGTGTTCCTCCCACTCTCGTTCCCCTAGCTAAATGCAAGCTGAATGTGCCCTTTTCGAGAAGCCTTCTCTGAGCCCCTGTAAGACAGGACTTCCTCTTAACATCTTCTCACTTCCTGTATTTAACACAACATGGAGCATGTACTTACTTGGGTCATGTTTTATGTAGTGTCTGCCACCCCAAGCTTCCAGAACCGGAAATTACAGGACTCAAGGATTTTAGTCACCAGTGCGCCCACCCATTGCCTCTTGTAGGACCAGGTATAGGGTGGATCTCACTGAATGTTTGTTGAATAACTCAATAAAGCACTTGCCTAGCATGTGCGAGGCCCTCGACGCATTCCCCACCACAGCAAAAGCAAAACAGTGAGTCTTGAGTTAAATCCCCTATTGTGTGAGTTCCACAGTCCAAAACTGTTTTACATTCATATATCTTATGTACAGATAATGATTACTACTGCAACTGAACCCGGATCTTCTCACTTAGCAACATCCTTAGCCCCCTTGCCCTTTTATTTTGAGACAGAGTCTTGCTAAGTCACCCAGGCTGGGCGCAAATTTGTGCTTCCAGAGTGCTGGGGTTACAGGCATGCATCACCACACCCAGCTACTATTGTCATTTTATTAATAGCATCTGTGCCAAGCCCTGCAGGGCCAGCCCTTCCTGACCCCCAGCTCTGTGTGGCCCTGGCTTGGCTCTCAGCTCCCATGGCCCCCACGTCCCTGGTCTGACCCCTCTGGCTGTGCCTCTCCTATGCCAGCTTGGACCATCCTGGGTGGTCGTTGTCCTGGGTGGTCGCTGTCCTGGGTGCCCTGCTTTCTCTGGTCCATGGGCTTTGTCAGGGGCTGTGTTCCCCAAGGCTATTCTCTCTGCACTACCCTGCACCCAAAAAGGTACCAAAATGCATTTAAGGAAAAGCAAAAGGAAAGTAAATATAATGATGACACAACACATGCAGATCCCAGCACCATTCCTGGCATGTAGGAGGAATTCTGAAGTGGTTAGTTTGAGATCAATGAGGGTGAACTTTCAAGGGCCTCTTGTCCCAGGCACTGTGTCATATGCGGTTCAGGCATGGACACATCATTCAATCCTCATAGCAATCCTCGTCACTGTTTATTACCCCCATTTTACAGATGAGGAAACTGAGGTTGGTAATGCTGTGTGCTCAAGGTCTCCCAGCCAGGAAGTGGCAGGGCTGAGATGCAGTGCGGCAGCCTTGTAGCTTTTGCCTCTGCTCTCCTGGCTTCCTCTGGGACCCTTGCTGTCCCTCCCACTCCGCTGGGAAAGCCCCCACCTATTCCTCTGCACTTGAACATCTTGGGGTCCAGCTGTCGGAGCTGCATGTGGGTTAGGGCAGCAGGGCCTGCGCAGTCTCCAGTCCCCACGCTGGCGTTCACGGTGGGCATCCACTGCAGCAGCCAGAGCACGCGGCAGTCACACTGGAATGGGTTCCCCCGGAGGTCCCTGGGGCAAGAGGCCAGGGAGGGGCTCCAACCTGGCCTTCACCTTTTGGGGCTCTGTTCCCAGGCCCCTCCCCAGGCAAAGGTCTAGGGTAGCCCCCCAGGTTAGAGGACAAATAGGTGAGAGTCTTCACCAACTCGCTCCTGGGCTGACCCAAAGTGGGCCCAGGTGACATCCTGGCCCAGAGCTCCCACCCGCACCCGTGAGCCCCCTTGAGCCTCACACGTGAGTCAGGGTCTCCAGGCCTCGGAACAGGAACCTGGGGAGGGCTTCCAGGTGGTTATTGGCCAGGCTTCTGGGGCAGAGAGAAGGAAGGTCAGCAGTTGCCAGGAGACACCGCATCCTTGGGGCTGGGGGGTGGGGTGACAGATGGGCGGGGCGACGGAGGGCGGGGCGACGGAGGGGCAGGGTGACAGTGACGCACAGGTGTGTGAGTGAGCGAAGTCCTCTGAGTGCGTTCTTAGAGATGGAACCAATTTTGTTGTCCTCGATGAAGCTGTGGAGGAAAAGTGGAGGGAGCAGGAGGAGGAGGAGGACAATGTTCACAAGGCTCACCTCCTGGAACCCAGGAGGCACGAGGCACGGGGAGGTGCTGTGCCCCATCCCACTGCCTTGATTAACCCCAGGGAAGGCCTGCCTCCCGTTGTCCCAGTCCTCGGTCCCAGGAACCAAGAATCTGCTCTACAATCATTGCCAGCCTCACCAAGAATGCTGCTGCCATTGCCACTGGCATCTCACCTGCACTTCTATCACCAGTGCCAACCCTGGTACCAAGAACTGCCATCATCCCCATCGTTACCTCTCGGGCTGGCAAGTCTACCACCAACAAGCATCTCCAACACAACTTTCGTGATCAGCACCAAAAGATTACCACCATCACCACCAGCCCTGCCACCGTTACTACAAACTGGCAGTGCCAGAGCCAACCGCACTAATTAGCCCCAATGTTTGTGTCAGCCATGTCACAAGCACCTGACCCACAAATTTTATCACCAATAGTGCCATCACCATTGGGTCCACCATATTTTTCTTTCCCCTTCCCTCTCTCCCTCCCTTTGCTGTACTAGGGATTGAACTCAAGGCCTTTGCATTGAGCTATATCCCTAGACCTTTAAAATGTTTTTTTTTCTTTAGTCTTTGTCCAGAACCAGCCTCTACCTACCCTACTCTGGGAACCACAGAGACCCCTATTGCTCCTCCCAGACCCAGGTCTCACTCACAGGTACTGCAGGTGGGACAGGCCAGCGAACGCATCATCTTCAATTGTGGAGAAGGAGTTGGACGTGAAGAGGCTGGCCAGGGAGCAAGGCAGAGAATGTTCTACATCTGGGGGTGCTTATTTGACATTCTAACCTTGCCCCACCCTCAGCCTTCACAGGCAGGCACACCCCTTGTACGTGGGCCTGAGAGTGCACACGGGTGCAGATACTTTCACACACACACGTGTGCTCTTAGACTCACACATCGCCAGGCTCCGTACACATACCTCCCGCGCCCTGCAGCTGGGCTTGGCCCAGCCAGGCTGTACTCACAGCAGGTGCAGGGATGGCATCCTCACAAAGCTGCCGGCCTTCAGCTGGGGGACTCCAGTCCTGACAAGTGAGCTGGGGATGTGCATGCGCAGGAGTGGGTGAGAATACCTCTCTCGCCAATGATCCGGTCCTGAGCAGGGCCCTCTGCTCTCTGGGATCCCATGACCTGAGCCAGGGTACATTTTGCTACATCCCAGGGCAGTTGCCCTTCTTGTTTGGCAAGAATGCTGGCAACATCCAGCTCGCCCTCTGACCCCAGGACTCCCCCTGCACCTTTCCAAGCCCTAGCAGCCCCCTTCTTCATGCCTCCTGACATCCTTTGCTGTCCAAGATCCTGATAGGTTCCTGATTCCTTGAGGACCCCAGCATCCCACCGCTATCCCTGGGGTTCCAGGGCTCCCGTCCCCACATCAGGCCCTCAGAGGACCCAACACTCACAGTGACAGCAGCGTCGGGGAGAAGCTCATGGGCAGGTCCAGGGAGCCCTCACACAGGGCGCTGTCCTTGGAGCAGGAGCAGCGCAGAGGACATTTTCCCTTTGGGGGTCTCCAGGCCACCCCCACCCCTGCCCCAGCTAGCAGTAGCAGCAGCAGCAGCAGAGTCCCTGTCACTGCCATGGCCCCTGCCCTGGACCTCTGCCCCCTCTGCCACTTCTCTTGGACCCAGTTTGGCCGGGGTGCTACATCTCCGGTGCCCAGAGCCTCTGTACCCCACCACAGGGAGCTCTGCCCGGCCCCCAGGCTCTCGCAGCCTGTTCTTTTCCCTCCACCTCTCTGGCGTCTGATTTTCTCTCTCTCCCTCTCTGACTCCTTGTCTTGCTGCTTCTCTCTCTGTGTTAGTCTAGTTCTCCTTCTCAATCTTGCTCCCTATTTCTGTCTATCTTTGTTTCTGTTTCCCTGTCTCTGTCTCTTTAGGTCTGTGTGTGTGTGTGTGTGTGTGTGTGTGTGTGTGTGTGTGTGTCCGTCCTTCTGCCTGGTGTCTATTTCTCAGCTCCCTGCCCCCTCTTCCTAGAGCCCAGTACTTTCTCTGCCTCCTCCCACGCCCCTTCTCCCTGAAGATTTGGGAAAGGGACGTGCTAGGCCCCGGGTGTGCCAGGCAGAGTGGGTAGAAGGAGGAGGGGGTCAGAGGCCATCAGAAGAACAGCCCAGGGGAAGGGACAGAATGGCTCTTTGGGAGGGGGTGGGGCCACCCAGAATTGGAGCCACCCTGGCCACTCCCAGCCAGCCCCCTCCCCAGATTGCCCACTCAGCCCCATTTCCCCAGAGCACAAGGAGGATGAAGGAGGATGTCACTAGGGTGGGGACTGATGGATGGCTCTGCCGACAGGAGGAGGGGCTGGGAGGAGCAGAACTGGGGATGGGGGGCATCCTGGCCACTCCCAGGCCCTCCCCCCTCCAGGAGGGTGTGGCGGGTGCTGTCACCAAGGCTTTGCAGAGGCCAGTTCAGGCTCAGCTGCTCCCTCTGGCGGCCACCCTTGTAAGGACTGCTGCCCTGCCCCAAATTCTGGACTTCCCTCCCCTCCCCTCTCCTCCCCTCCCTGGAGATTAACCCTTCAAATGCTCACGCACATTTGGTAGACACTCAACCCCAGGAAATACTTAACCGCAAAATGCCATCTATTGCTGCAGCCTGACTCTGTGCCAAGCCATGTCCTCAGCACCCTGGTGACTCTCCCCTCATCACTGGGGTCTGCACTATTCTCAGCGCTCTTTTACAGCTGGAAAAAACTGAGGACAGAAGTCAAGGGACCTGAGCTCACCATGACCCAGGTGGAGGCAGAGCAAGGGCCCAGACCCAGATAGCCGGCTCCAGTTTCTCCATGTGATTTTGCTTTCTTTCTTTGGAGATCAGAATTCATGAATACTTGTCTGTCCCTTAAATACAAAAGATGATAGATACATGCTACCCAGTGTGACCTAATAATATTTACTGAGGACTTACAATGCGTCTGTCTTTACATAAATTGGCTAAGCGCTCCCAGCAACCCTGCAAGATGGGCAGTATTACTACGCCCACTTCACAGACGGGGAAGCCATAATTACTCTTATGGTTTCATTCTCACCTTATGACCTGGGGTTAGGAGATGTACCCCAAGACTGAGGAGTATACATAGCCTGTCTTGCCCTGAGGTGTATACCTAGAGAAGACTTGGAGGATCAGAGGCTTGACAGCATCCAGAGGTAGAGATCCACGATTCAGCCCATCCTGAATCAAGTCCTTCAGCCTTCCAGGTTCTCAGTTTTCCCACCTGTCAAATGGGGGCACTCATAGTGCTTATTTTCCAGTTTGAGAGAGGACTCAGTGTGATGACTAAAGTCACTCGCTTTCTTGGGGTTCAGCACAGAGTGGGTACCCTGAGGTAGGTAGCAGGTTTGGGGACCAACTCTGGCTCCATGTCCTCATCCTACACCCCATCAGCTTGTGATCTGAGCAAGGACCTTCGGTTCTTGTTTTCACCAGCTGAAAAGCAGCTGTCATGAAGGGCTTTACGGGGTCTTTGAAAGCGAAGATAAAGAGCCGGGTGCTAGAGATACGGAGAAGCGGCAGATAGGCCCGAACGTACATGGACAGCACACCTGGGCCCGCAGTGTCCTCACGCCAGTGTGCGTGAGAGGGTTGGTCGTGAGGGTAATGGCAGCTTTCTTTTCCGCAGTACTGGGGATTGAACACAGGGTCTTTGCACTGGGCTACATCCACAGCTCTATTTATTCATTAATTCATTCACTGACTCCTTCATTTAAAGGTAGAGTTTCACTAAGTCACTAGGTTGCCCAGGCCAGGCTCAGACTTGTGGCTCCCTTGTCTCAGGCTCTTAGAGTGCTGCGATTAGAGGCACGCACCCTCCAGTCCAGCTAGACAGCTAACTCTTAAAAAAAAAAAAAAAAAAAAATCATTTACTGTGTGTCAGGTTCTGTTCTCGCTGTTCTAGATTGTTCGGGTAATATCTTAACCTCCCTCTGAAGTGAATACTCTTTTCCTTTCCATCTTACAGAAGGAGCTGTGGACTCACAGAGAGGCACAGTCACATTACACAGCTGGAAAGCACTGAGCTCTTCTGCCCTGGGACCTGAGGCCCCAGAGCTGGATCCATCAGGGAGGAAGCTAGGTTGGCCAAGAGCTGGCTGGATGTCCCTCCTTCTTTGGTCCCTGTGTCCTCTGTCCCCCTCCCTAGTGCTGCATAAACAGTAGGGTTATCATTAACTGGGGACTGTGGGTGACCCTGGGGTGCCTGGCCACCAGAGGAGCAGAGGCTGAGAGGACTCAGATGACAGGGATATGGGAGCCTTTTGAAGCTGCCTGGGTTCTCTGAGATGAAGTGTCTCTTTCTGCGTGTGTGGGGGAGGGGAGGTTACACCCATGCACGGGTGTGAATGTGTGTGAGTGCTCTTCATTCTGTTCTGTACTCTCTGGGCAGGCTTCTGAGAGCTGAAGAGTGGGACATGTCTCTCTTTTACTAGCAGAGGGACCTCTGGAGAATTAGCTTCACTTGGCTAAACCTCAGTATTCCCGTCTCTAAAATGGAGCTGATAAACCAATGTCAAGTTCAGAGACCTCTGAGACTGGCCAGGGGTATGTGTATGACCTTAACTATTTCTCTATCTATTTATTTATTTATTTATTTTTGTATTTTATGGCAGGGTCTACAGGATGTTCAGGGTCTCACTACTAGACTGGACTCGTAGTGATCCGCCTGTTTACAGCCTCCCAAGCACTGGGATTACAGGTGTATGCCACCACGCCCAGTCTCAATTGCTGTCTCAGTGTGCCCCGGGGGTGGGGCCAGCACAGCAGGCCTGGGGATCAAACCCCTGGTGTCTGAGCCTGCTTGCAGGTGCTTTAACCTGCTGAGCTATTTGGCCGGCCCTATTTCTCTAGTTTATAACCCAAGAGACTGAAGGACAAGGAAGTCACAACAGCTGCCCAAGATCACACAACCAGGAGTACAGAGTCCGATCCTCATCTTAGTTTTCTCTGTTACCAGCACCTGGGGGTCTGGCTTGCCCATGAAGACACTGGAAATATTTTCTTTGAGGGGCCACAGAAGTCCAGGGAAGGAAAAGTTCAAGGCTGACCCTATCTTTATGGTTCTGGCGTGGTGGGCCCTGTGTCAGGCCGTTGTGTCTGTGACTGTGTGGCCGGCTGTGTGCTGCCTGCCCACACGTGGGGTGTGAGTGCAGCGCCCGTCTGTGTCTGTGGCCTTGTGGCAGAGTGGCTGGCTACATGGCAGTCTCCTTAATGCTGTGTCTGCTCGGTGTGGCCGTGGAGTGTACACAAGGTCTGTGGCCTTCACATCCTTGCTGGCTGTGTCGGTGCCTCTGAACGATTTCGTGTGCTCTGTGTGGAATCTTGCATTTCAGTGGGGCCATTTGTGAGTGTGTCTTCACAAACGTATGGGTCTTTGTTTCTCTTTGTAAGAGTGGATGGACGCATGGCTATCAGTGGCTCTGTACAGGGACCAGATCTGCTTGTCTTGCTCTTTTGCATTTAAGAGGTGGTGTTTGAGTGTCTGTGTATTTGGGTTTCTCTATGACCCTGTGTGTGTGTGTGTGTGTGTGTGTGTGTGCCCCTGGTGGAATGCTAGGCAGAACACACACAGACACACACATACTAACTCCCTTCCCTCACCAGGGAATTGCCCAACATTACTGTCAAGTGTTTCGCAGAACATGGACATCAGAGGTCAGTGAGCTCCTAGGTGCCTGGCCTGCTTGACCTTAGGCCCCAGCTGGGCCTAATTCCCAGGGAACAGTGCAGAAGTCGCTTCCCTGCCCAGCTCCACATTCTATGCCAAGGTGAGTGTGTGTGTGTGTGTGTGTGTGTGTGTGTGTGTGTCCACGCAGCTGGCCTGCTGTTCCTCAGTCTGAGTGGAGAGAGTTAACATAGCAGGCCTGGGCGGTCTGGGCTGGGGGCCGCCCCCTGGCCCCCCTCCAGCCTGGGCTCCAGTTACAGCTGCTGGCTGGGGAGGGCAGCAGTGGGTGGGGCCAGGAGGGAAGCCTGCCCTGTGGCGCATCCAGCACCCAGCTAGGGGGTCCAAAGTGCTCAGCCCCCAGGGCACAGCTGCACATTTGGGGGCCTTCTTTCAGCAGGGGACAACCTGACTGGGGTGAGCGTCCCCCACCTTTTCCTCCTAGATCCCTTCCCTCCCCTGGCCCTGCAGCCTATTTTGGGAGCAGGAGTGGCCAGCCTGTGGCTTTCCAGGCAGCCTGGCCCAAGAAGGAAGAGTGTGACATTGGGGTTCTACAGGCCTGGGAGTGAGGGTGCGGCTCCTCCCTTCACGGCTGTGTGAGTCCCCTGGCTGGGCGTGGGATTCAGACACATGTCAGTCAGCTTGTGTCACTGTTTGGGGGAACTGGCGGCCCAGAGGAGATTTATGTGTGTCTGACTGTGTCTACACCCCACCTTCTTCCAACTAGCAGTTTGGAGAAAGGGTGCTGTCTGACTCCATTCCAGCCCCATCACTCTGTGTGTGTGTGTGTGTGTGTGTGTGTGTGTGTGTGTGTAATATGCATGTTTGTAAGTGTGTTCCTGTGCCTGGCATCTATCTTTTCTCTCCTAGGCCCACAAGTGTGGGCCTCGTGTCACTTGCCTGAGTTGTCTAGTTATGAAAGATGTCACCTGGAGGCAGGCAGGGAGAGTGTTTTCCTTTTTCTCAGGGTGCCCAGGAGAACAGGCTGGGTGGCCTTGCCCCAAGGGGCTGCCTGTGGCCATGTGACAGCTGGGCCTCCCCCAGCAGGGTTATGCTTGACCCCCATGGGGGAGGGAAAAAAAACTGTTGCCATGGTAGTCTGAGTGAGGCAAATTCCTCCAGGGTGAAGTGGGAGATATTTATACCCAGGGTCAAGCGGATATCGGACAGGCATGGAGCGCAGGAAAGCTGCAATTGTCTGGGATACTGTGAGGCCACTGAGTGGGGGGCAGGTGGGACTGAGGTGTACCCAGCTGCATCTGTCTCTTCACCTGCCTCCTGCTCTGGGGTAGGTTTGGGGAATCTGGGCCCTGCTGTGGAAGAGGAGAGGGGTGGTTGGAGAGGTCTGTGGACTGTCACCTCCTAACCTTGCTGTGCTGTGTGGCATGTGACCCCTGTTGTGTGAGTTGCTTTGGTGAAATGGTCCCAATCTGAGAAGCAGAGGGTGCCTGTTTCTCAGGCAACTAAGCTGGGTAACCAACACTTTCATGACTAAGTCCCTAGACTGTCTTTGACTTAACCCCTTGGATTCAGGTGGGGCTGAGGGTATACATTTTCTGTCCCTCTGTTGTCTCTCAGGACAATGGCATCCTTCAGTGATGTCTTGGTTGTCTTCCTGGTTCTCTTCACCATGGCCAATGCAGGTGAGTAAAGGGAGTGGGGGTGGGGGGTAGGGGGAGCACAACTCAAGGACCAAGTGGAAGATCCTGCCATAAGTGAACTCAGTTGGAACACCAAGAAATTAGGGGTCCCCAAGTAGGGTTCAACTTTACGCTGGTATTTAGGGGAGGTGAAAGAGTACTCTGGGTCAGACAAAGGAGAGGGTGGCCTGAAAGCTGGCTCCTGCATTAAATGATGAAATCACCCACAACCTGTAAGACACCAGGGCACTGAGGCAGTGAGATGCCCTCTCCACCCGGGACACTACAGAAGGGACAGCTAGGACCCAGAGAGGGTGGGCCACGTACCTAGGGTCCCAGACCCCCAAATTCTCAGCCCAGGAAGGTACAGCCCTCCAGTGATCTTATGCTCCTTCTGGCCCAAGATGCCAAGAAGCATTCAACCCTTGCTTTCTCTTTCCAGAAGCACCTCAGAACCACGACCCGTTCACCTATGGTGAGCTGGAGCGGGAGCCAGGGCCTCGGTTTGCCCTTCCCATCTCTTGGTTTATATTTCTGTCCTTCTTCCCTTTCCCTTGCTCTGGCTGTCTTCTTTCCCTTGTCTGGTTGTCTCTCTGTATCTGGTTGATCCCTCTCCGCCTCTCTCCTTTTGAATGAGCCTCCCAGTAACCCCTAGCCCATCCTCAGCTGCCTCCTGCCCTTTCTTCCCTCCCTGCCCACCTCCTCCACTCCATCCTTCTCTCCTCCGCCCACCCTAACCCTAACCCTAGCCTAGCCCTTGTCTCTCCCTCCCACCTTCTTGCCCTGCTCCTCCTCCAGTCCTCCTACTCTCTTTACCCCTATTGATCTCCTTCCTCCCCTCCTGCTCCCTGCCCTACCCACTCCTCCCCATAGGCGGCTGTCCGCCTCTCCTTGCCCTCACCTTCCTCACTGCTGTCTGCAGACTACCAATCCCTGCGGATCGGAGGCCTCATCATAGCTGGGATCCTCTTCATTTTGGGAATCCTCATTATCCTCAGTGAGTGGCTGCGCCCCGCCCCGCCCCGCCCCGCCCCCTGGCTGCCCACACCACACCCAGCCCGCCTTGGTCTCCTGAGCGAGGCCACTTTCCCCCTTCCACCCACTGCTTGAAGACCACGCCCACCCCGTCACGATCTTTCCTGGCCACTCCCCCTCCACGCCCCCATCCACGTGGCTCCACCCCTCCACCCCACGGGGGGGGGGAGGGGGCGGGGGTGCAGCCGCAACAGGAGTGCAGCCTTGCGCCACCTAGAGGGACTCAGCCTCCGCTCCCCCTCCTCACTCCTACAGGCAAGAGGTGCCGGTGCAAGTTCAACCAACAGCAGAGGTAAGACGCCCTTCCCTTTCCTCGCCTGCCAGCTCCCGGCTCTAGAGGGATGCAGTGGGAGAGGCAGAATTTGTTCTTGTGAGCACATAATAAGCACCTACTATGTGCTAGGTCCCAGATCAGGCCCTGGGATGAGCAATGAAATCACCTCCCACCCTGCCTGGCCGAGGTCCCCGTGGGGGCTGTGGATTCCAACAGCCACACAGAAGTAAAAATCACAGAGTGACAACACAGAAAGTGCAGGGACAGAGCAAGCCGCGGTGAAATGAGATCACCTCACACGTGGCCCAGTTTAGCTTGCAGTCCTCTTCCTAGCACTTCAATTCATCTTTAAATAAAAATGTAAACCCTAGGCAAGGGACCAATACCTTCGCCTGTTAAAACGATAAACATCGCTGTCATCACTAGTATGCCCTGCATGTGCTGTGCGCCGCTGTTCCCTATCCCTTGCTTTCTTTACCCCTCACACTATCTCTAAGAGGTAAGTGTCACTGTCATCAACCCCACTCTACAGATGGGGAAACCGAGGCACAGGGAGGTAGTCACTTACTCGAGATCTGTCACTGGGTGATGAGCCTTGGGATTCCAACCTAGGCCGCCTCCTGGCAGTCTACCGAGGCCCCTTGACCCTCTCCCTGGTCCTTCCCCGACGTCCTCCAAGGTCCTCACCAACACCTCCTTGGACACTCCTCATTTGGGGCGCCCCCAGCTTGCTTGTCGCTGGAAGTGGGCCTCGGATTCGGTGCAGGGAAAGAGGTACGCAGCGAGGCAGTGTGGCTTCCTGGAAGCGGCCGCCTCTCCTTCCCACCCCGAATTCCCTCTGCCTCTCCCTTCCTAGAACTGGGGAACCAGATGAAGAAGAGGGAACTTTCCGCAGCTCCATCCGCCGTGAGTTTGGGGAGACTGCGGAAGTTTGGGGGTGAGGGCGGGTTCTTTGGATATCCTTTCTGGCTTTACCTGGGCGCGTAGAGGAAGGGGATCGATCCCGACACCATATGCCCCTCACGACACCCGAACTCTCTATGCCCCCGCAGGTCTGTCCACCCGCAGGCGGTAGAGACACCTGGAGCCTGGAACTCTCCCAGGTCCTGCAGCTCAGCCCCAGCAGAGGAGGAAAGAGAGGGAGGGAAGCCTGAAGAGGGGAGATGTGCCAGGTGGGAGGCTTGTGGGAGGTGGGCTTGAGGTCCGAGTCGCCTCTCACCCTTCTCACCCCACAGGATTCCCCTGGCACCTGCCGCCTTCCGCCCACCACCTGCGCGCCTCCAGCCACCACATCTGCCTCCTCCCAGCCCTGTCCCACGGATTCCGCGGGCCGCCGACTTCCATTAAAACGTGCTTTTCTTTCCTGACAGCGCTTCCTTGATCTCTCTGTCCCTCTGCGCGAAAGCCTGGGAGCCCCCATAGCCCCGGCAGGGGGCGCCCCCACCCTAGGGAAAGGGGCGGGGACGCCGACAGTGGGCGGGGGCGGGGGCGGAGGTGGCTTGGATGAGGGCGGGCTCCCCGGGCCCCCATTGGCTACAGGCACCCCCAACACCAGGGCTCCCCCGATTCCCCCCCCCACATCAGTCTGTCCTGCTTCCAGCTGCTGCAGCCGCACCTTTGCTGCCTCAGCATCCACAGCCCCCTTCTGCTCAGCATGGCGACCCCAACCCAGGGCCCTACAGCTGGTGAGCTTATCGCCTAGGGAGTGGGCGCCGGGACGGGTAAGGGTGGGCTCCAGGATCCAAGAGCTGAAGAGAGAGGGTGTGGAGAGATTCTAGTCCCGAAAAGGGAGGGGAGTGAGGAGGGGGTGTCTATTCCTTCCCCAGCGGAGCCCGCTGGAGCCCGCTGTTAAGCACCCCTAAAGGCCCCTTGAGGGCTCTGGGACGCTCGCTCCCTTGCGATGTAGTCCCGGTGCGGGATCTACAATTAGAGTGTGACGGTCCCAGGAGAAAAGATGCTCGGACAGGTTGCTATGGAAACCGGGTGGCTGGTCCAGCGTAGTGTTGGTAGCAGTGGGGAAGAGATGGGCTTGGAGGGTGGGAGCCGATGGGTGTGCAGCCAGAGAGGTAACATTTCAGGACCACGGGTTGGGCAAGGGGAGGGGGGCCCACGTCCCTTTTAGTCCAGCACTGACGTCTGTGGTGGGGGCTTTCCTGAAATCCTGAACAGGCAGGCTCAGAAGGAAGGAGGGACAGCTAAAGGAGAGACGAAATGGGGGTGGGGGTTGACTAAGAGACTATGAAAGGGACAGAAAGAGACCAAGATAGACAGGAGATGTAGTCAGCGACAAAAAGACCCAGAAGGATAGGTAGGAGGCTCCTAGAGTGTAAGAGTGACGGAAAGATGCAGAGAAAAGAATGAGGCACAGAGAGATTGAGGGATTGAGGCAACTCTGGAGAGGGAAGGAGAGAGAAAAAAGCGGAAAAAGGAACAGAAAGGGGGCCGCCTGGGGTGGGGCCCGAACCACTGCAGTGAACCTCCGTGGGTGGGAATGGCAGGGCAGGACCCTCCTTCCCAGCCAGCCCGCAGCCAGCGGTAGTTTCCAGCCCCGGAGGTACGCTTCGGTGTGCACAGGGATGTTCCTCCCACCCCCATCCCACAGCAGACCACTTACACTTGACACCCACTAACCCAGATATGCACTCTCTGAGGCACGCACTCACTGTTGCACCCAGCAGTCCCTGTGGCGAGCTTCCTCCTGCTGCGGAGCAGGGGACAGAATGCTTCAGTAAGGGAGGGGGTGGAACAGGGCTTCGCAGCACTGAGGGCTGGAGCAGGGGTGCTGAGTAGCCCCTGGCAGTGGAGAGAACCCCAATTTCACTCTGATTGCTCTCTCCCTTTCCCCTTGTCAGCCGGCGGGGGCTGCTGCTCTGAGCCGAATCTGCAGCATGTGAAGCAGGGCGGGGTGGGGGGGCTGCAGAGGCTGGAAAGCACCCGAGGGAGAGGGGGCAGGGCTGAGCCGGCGGGTCTGGCGGGAGCCCAGGGCTTCTTTTCGCAGAGGTGGTGGTTAGCAGGATCGAAGGCAGTGGACGGGGCCAAGGTGGGAGGACAGACACCTCAGCGCCTCCCTTCTCCCAGTCATAGCATGAGAAGGGACCGCGGGTCTTGGGAAATCCCAGGGGAGAAAAAGCCAGTTGTGCATTGCAAGCTGCTTGGGGAAATGAGTTAATGAATTGTTGGGGAGAGAAGGGGAGGAAGGTGAGGCTCTTTCCACCTGCCAGGAAACGGAAGGGAGGATTAGGGGCAAACAGAAAGGGGACACATGAATGCAACCCAGCCTGGGTCCTGGTCCCTGAGCAGAACCCTCAGATTGGCCAGAAGCCAGCCTTGCAGGGGCCCCAGGAGGAGGCACAAAAGGAGAAGCAAGAGTCAAGATTGGGCCCAACTTACAAGCCTCACACAAGACCCCACCCAGCCTGCAGTGATCCGACCCATCACCTCACAAGATGCCTTGGTTGCCATAGCAGCCACCTCCTTCTTGATCTCTCCTTGGCAACTGGCCAGAAGTAGTGCACATTCCTTCTGCCTCCTGATCGCACCCTTAGCCCAGCCACACCCTGAGGCTTCCGATTGCTGGACCAATGGGGACAGGCAGAGGACCTTCTGCAGGGAGCACCTGCACTCGGGGAGGAGCCCAAGAGGATTCTGAGAGTTGCACTCATACACTTGAGAACTTTGGAGGATGGTGTGCAGAAAGCCAGGAGACAGAAGTGAGCACCTCTGGTGCAGCCTAGGGGGGGCTCACATTTATTCACACACTCACCCACTCATTCATTCACTCAATCACTCATTCCAAGAAAATTCTTTGACAGCCTTTTGTAAGTGCCAGGATGAATGTCAGAGATAAGTTAAGCAAATTTACTCAGCATCTGGTAGGGAAGCTAAAATAGTGCTCAGGTGACTAAGACCCTGTGTTCCTGGTTGGACATTTAAGCACCACCTTCAAAATTTTGCCCAAGTTCTAATGTCCAGTGTTCCCTGTCTTGCTACTCATTTAATGTTTTGTCCTCAGAGGATTACCTTTGTCTTCTCTTCTGTCCTTTCAGGCCTAGATTGAACTCTAGAGCTTTGTATGGAACTAGATACCTAGCCTTTTATTTGGGGACAAGGTCTTTCGTAGTCACTAAGTTGCCCTGGCTGGGCTCAAACTCACAATCCTGCTGTCTCATGCTTTCAGGGTTAACTTTTAAAAAGTACTTAAGTCGCTTTATTTTGTATTGCCAGTACAACTGCAAAATGAGGATTTTGGTGGGGGGGGCTTAGCTGAAGGCAAGCATAAAAACAAATCTTAAGCAAGTGACTTGACTTTTCTGGGTGCAGTGACCCATTTTGTGATATGCAGAAGGCAGAACCTCTGTCAAAGCTGCTGCCAGGATCAAATCCGTTAACATTGTAAAGAGCTTAGAAGCAGTTGCATATGGAGTCAGTGCTATCTATTGCTGGCTAAATAAATAAAGAGGAAACCTAATATTGTCAGAAAATCCTACATAGATTTTTGTTTCCTGCACAAGACTCTGAATGCAAGATCTGTTTTCTCTTGGGTAAGAGGAGAGACTACTAACACTGCGGGCAGCTATTAAAGATGCCTCTGCACCAGCCTGAAGCTTGAAGGCTGGACAGAGCCCTGGAAAGGCAAACGGACACGCTGTGAATTAGCGCTACGCTGTGAATTAGCGCTACTCGTGGTCCTGCCTCAGAGACTCGTGCGTGAGTCCATCTAGGCTACAGCTTGCTTTGGTAATGAACAGAACCAAAAGTCTCAGTGGGCTAGGATCACTAAGGTTCTTTCTCACTGATTCTTTGTGTCTATCAAAAGCCATTCTACTGGGGCTGGGGAGATGGCTCAGTGGAATAAGCACTTCCCTAGCAAGTGCAAGGGTCTGAGTTCAATCCCCAGTTCCACCAAAAAAAAACAAAAAACAAAAAACAAAAAACATTCTACTAACCAACGAGAACTAGAGAAGCCACCGTCTTGAATGTTCAGGCCACCAGGACAGAGACAAAAGAGAGTTCTCATGTGGGCACTGGGATGCCCGAGGTGTTAAGTGACAGTGATACTTCCATGTACAGCTCATTGGCCAGAATTAGTTACATGGCTCCATGCAACCTCAAGGGAGCTACCCTCCTCTGAGTAGCCGGAAGGGGAGACAAGGACACTACACCACATTCTGACACCCTCCTCTAATTCCTCAAGCTTTGCTGAATTCAACTCTAGTCAAGAGAGGACCACACAGGAAGTAGAGGACCATCTGGATGCACTTCTGGAAGGGGCAGATGTTCTGAGCATCTGAATGGATATAGGATTTGTGGCAGGGAGGTGAGAGATGAGCAAGAAGGGATCCACAGACACACATTTGTGTGTGTGTGTGTGTGTGTGTGTGTGTGCACGTGCATGCACATGTGTGCATGTATTACTAGGGATAGAACCCAGGGCCTTGGCATTAAGCTATCTCCCCAGCTTTTTTTATATTTAAATTTTGAAATGAAGTTCTGCTAGGTTGCCCAGGCTGGGCTTGAACTTGGAATCCTCCTGCCTCAGCCTCCCAGAGAGCTAGGATTACAGGGGTGCACCACCACTTCCTGCAACACACTCACATTTTACCCACACACTGGCATCTCAGAGTGGATGAGTGTATCTTACATGCTTTCTATGGTATATCCACACCCACACATCCTGGAAATACCACTGGAAAAAAAAAAAACATAAAAAAAATCCAACATCACTGATGTCTTAGAAATAAGTGATATAAGCTCCAAATCGCCACAGCTCCTCTACAGTGGGCTTGGGGGCAGGAGCAAGTAGAAGAGAGCAAGAGCAGATGCCTAGGAAATTTTAGGAAGCATCTAGGGGCAGAAATGGGTCTGGATCCACCTGTGGGACTTGGTTCTGCCAAGCCCTGGCATCATATGGAAGTGGGTTGTGTCTGTATTCATAGCTCACTGTTTGCGTTAGACTTCTAAGGGGTCTAGATCAGGACTGCCACGTATAGCTGGGTACGTGGTATGCTTTACAAGGGATGGAACTGACTGATGGAATGAATGAGTGGAGGTTGGAATCATTCCCGTGCTCTATTCATCAATGAGTCGTGTCACAAGTCTGTATCATCCAGAGAAGGGGCTTCTTTCTCTCTCTGACTTCCACGAAGAAATCCCTGGGCTAGTGGCCCCATCCACATCCTTTAGAATGTTAAGAAGTTTATCTAGGTGTGGTGGTACACTGCAAGTTCCAGCACTCTGGGAGGCTGAGACAGGAGGACTACAAGTTCAAGCCCATTAAGGGCAACATTGTGAGACCCTGTTTTGAAATCTAAATGGCTGAGGCTATAGCTCAATGCTTAGGGCCTGGGTTGAATTCTCAGTACCCCTC